CTCCTATACAGCCTATAGCCCTCAACATTCACCGCCCAACACACACACAGAGGCAGGCACATATATACATATGTGTGTGTATACAGATACACGTGTGTGTGTGTGTGTGTGTGTGTGTGTATGTACACACCCATAAAAACATGGATATGCATCCGTACAGCCTTTTTTGCATGTGCAGTTGAGTTGGTTTGTTTTTTTGGGTTGTTTTTTTTTAATTAAACCAATGCATGAGTATTAAGGGAAACACTGAATATGGGTAGACTTTCAAAGCATTCCAGTTAAAAGCCAAAAATATTTTACACTTCCAATTTGCAAGTAAAATTTGTGCCTGGATACAAAGAAGCCTTGGGGTGGGAGGGAACACCTAAAAAGACCACTTAAATCCTTCCCTTCTCATTTTGCAAGCATGATTTCTGAAGACATGAACCACATAACTGGAGCATATGCTACACAAACAAATACCTAGGTCTGAACGTTTTAGGTCTGCTTCAGGGGGCTGGAGAGCATACCAACTCATACTCAAGCGTAACCTCAAAATTAGATCAAACCAAATATAAAAAGTTATGTCTTTCCTTTAGAGTAGGTTCTGTTCAACTGGCAGTCCACAGGCTGCATGGAGCCTGTGAGGAGTTAACATGAGGCCTCTGGGTTCCCACTTATGGCTGCTGCCCCTTGTTCCACCTGCAGTTGCCAGTGTCTTGGGATTTCCCCTTCCTCCCCTGCTTCTGATGCCTAATTCAGCCCTGGAGTGTGGGATAGAACAGTATGGCACAGCTCATGGTGCAGGGTGAGCCAGTACCCCAGAATATTCATGTGGCCTGGTGCTGTGAGGAAGCCTGCAGTGAGCTGCAGGTGAGGTAGGATACTGTGCTGCATGAGGGAGGCAAGGGGTGGGGGCCCCACTGATGTGGATGGCGCAGAGGGGTGGTGGGGATGCCTGCCTGTGCAAGAGCATAATGTGGAGCCTGGGGGGCCATGGCCCCTTTTGTTGCAGTCTGTTGGGGTGTGCACCCCTCCAACTACTTAGAATTTGGACAATCCGGTTCTAAAGAATTGCAGAAGTGCAGAGATTATACTGAGCTCTTTGTATATCCATCCAGAGTCAAGACTTCATTATCCCAACACTGCCTATGCTTAATATAACGAATTTGTAACCTATGTAGCTACTTGGGGATACACTGATGTCAAGCCTAGGACATAAAAATGGAAAACACTCAAAAAAAAAAAAAAAGGAAGTAGAAAATTTGATTTTTACATCTCTGCTCATAATGAACTCTATTTAAGGCAGAAGTAGAGAGACAGTTAACATCTATGAAGTATCAACCAGATAGTCCTTATTATTTAGTACTCAAAGTCACAAGTCTTAGTGAGACTGTACATAACAGTGTAAGTGGAGTGCAAAGAACAAAAAGAAACTGACCTGTGAAAGTAATTTAAATAGTAGACAACCTTTTTTTGTGAGGGAAAAGAAAGAAAATGCAACTGAGCATGAAATTATAGGGATACCTTCAGCCAGGGGGTCAAGTGTGTGAATCATAAGTTGAAAGATGCTGTTCCTCATCAAACTATTGTGGAGAGATGCAGAGCTCCCACCTCGCTGAAGCCGTGGCTTGGTCTGAATGTAGAAAGAAAAAGGAAAGGAATTAAGTCTTTTAGTAAGAATGGATCCAGTTACACTGGCTACTTTGCTTCTTAGTAGAGAGGTAGTGTTTGTAGAGCAAGGCAGCATGATTGAAGACACTACTGCCTGATGTGGTAAGTCTGCAGCATAGACATGCTTTGTGAGCTGTAGTCAGCTTATAATGAAAATGTTTCCAATATAACCCAACACATTGTATTAAACAGTATTGTCAGTATAGCCCTTTTCATCACAAAGCATCACTATATCTATTCATCAGCCACTAGGACTCATAAGCAGAACTGTGGAAGTAGTTTCCTGATCCCATATATTTTCATTATTTAACTTTTCTGCATCAGAAAGAATCCAGACTTATCTTTTTTGTAGAACTGTCTAGTTAGGTCCCTAAGGTATGGTATCTCCTAATTTAAAAAAATATATTCCATTACCAACTTCCAGAGATCATGGAAGTGATAGAGTAAACAAGCATAAAGTGACCTAAGTGGCCATATCTGAACAGTCATAGCTTAGTTGGAAAAACCATCATATGCCTCTCTGTCTGTGGCTTTCCAGCACACCTGGAACACAAGGTTAAAACAACAGGTGGTCAGTGAGATTAAAAATATACATGCACACATACACACAAGCATGGAACTTATGTACAAAGACTTTTTTTTGTTTTTTTACATATTTCAATGGGGTTATAAATATACAGGCAATGTTGTTCTGCCTGTGCCTTTAAATATATACTATAATATATTAGCGTCTGCAAAATGCATCTGTAAAGTTCTTACAGAATACAATTCAAGGATGGCACTGATCAAAAAAATAGTGGCTCCTTTGGATTTAAAAAACAAAAAGACAACAGGATCAACAATTTGCAAGGCAAATAAGCCAACAAAACAAAAAAAAAAGAAAGAAGGAAAAAGCCTGGAGGAAATATTTTGGTTTTGATGCAACTTTTCTAATACACATACATGAACCCATGGTGCCTAATTAAAAAGCAAATAAAAATGATAGACACTGAATTCCAGAATGAATCTGTCACTCTAACACTGGAATGCAATTATTTTAAATGTACAGCAGCATATGGGAGGGAGGGAGCCCACTAGCTTATTAAAATTCTGAAGTGTGCCAAAGCAAAGTATGATTCGTCTCACCCACACCTTCTAAAAATAGATGCCAGACACAGATGAACTATTTGCTGCCTACCGTCAGTGTTTGGTCATCCTTGTTCCCAGCATTAGGTGACTGCATTTGTGGGAAGAAAACAAAAGAAAAACAAAACGTGTCACAAAGTATGCACACATTTTCAGAGATGGATTTCAATACAAATAGAAGACAGGTAAATGGCATAAATGTGTGCTGAATGGTGTAGATTCTATGGGCCTCAGTGTGATGTTGTAGCTCTGGAAATACAGGAATTCAAGAATTCTAGAAATGTGGTTGGTCATGAATTATCTGCAAGTTTCATGCATATGATAGTAATTTCTTCTGTTTGGCTGTCATTTGGTTTATTTGCATATGATGGACTAAATCTTGAGGTCCTCACTTTGTTGAGGAAAACTCTCATTAGTTTTAATAAGATTTTGTTAAAATAAGGACTGAATAATCAGCAGAGGTGCTGAGTAGGTGGGGGCCCTGAAGGCCCTGGCCATCCTGAGGAAGAGGGCTGTCACCTGAAATTCATAAAACATTTCACATGTCCATCATAGGCCACCCCTGCTACCCCGGCAAAAATAAAAGTCAGCACCTATGATAGTCAGTATAAAATCAGTAAGGGCTTTAGGATTGGAACACTGCTAATTCCAGTGTCCCAAACAAATATCATGATCCTGATATTTTGAAAACAGCCTATGGGCCAACATTTTAAAAATACAATTTTTGATACTTTCCTGCAAGCTTCAATATACTGCAAGTAGTCAACAACAAACAGTTGGGAGCTGGCAGCATGCCATGTACAAGAATCAAACTCTGGGGTAGATTTTAAAGCCATTTTAGACTACAGAGAAGCTGATTTGTGTTGCAGGGAAATCTGTCACCTTCCTAGGATAATAATGACACAGCAATGACATTCATAGGATGAAGAACTGGGGAAAATTTAAGTCTCTCTGAAGACCAATTAATAGCAATTTTATACTTGTTTTGTATGCCTGGGTTGTTTTACAAAAATAACAGGTATCATAATCAGGTTATGACGCAACAGAATTATGAATTTATAAAACTTTTTGGAAGGACTGTGGTAACATGTGATAGAGTCATACTGTTTTCTTAAATGTGCTGAAGCACATTGTACAAGGAGTGAATTCACCAGATAATCTATAGATAACGACACCCATAGATCAGGGTTGATAAACAGCACACATCAAGCAATCTACCAGTCTTAATGTCATCATTGTTTGGTTATATTCCTTTCTCCAAAAGCCAGAATATATACCGTTTCTCTCCTATTCCAAACTTTCATACAAGTCAACAAATGTTACTGTGTTCTACAAAACACAAGGGAAAATATCCAGCACAATGGGCTCAGCTTTTGATACTTACTGAGATTAACTGTCAGAGCAAGCTTCCTTCTGTTAGCAAATTTAACTTTGTGGGGATTCAACGGAAGACAAACACAAGCAAACATTGATACTGAAGAAGACAATTTCTGTTCCACAAAAAAACAGAGGAAGAACAGGACTCATTTCCCTATGTCAACAATGTCCGCTCCCAAGAACATCAGTTTGTAGAAAAGATTAAGTGAGAAAGGCTACCTTTTGGTAAACTCCTTCTCAAATCAGGTTATATCAGACAATGCAAGAAATCCTTTTGGGAAAAAAAATATATACATGTTTCATGGTTATATTGTGAGGAGATCCCTTATTGGAACTTCAGAAAAGACATTTCTACTCTAAAAAGGAATCCACTGTGCAGATTTATATTTAGAAAGTACTTTGACATATATTGTTAATTCGTGATATTCACATGTATGTGCAAAAACACACATTTCTACACACACAATACATTATTTACGTATTCTTCCAAGGGTTGTTTTTGCTCAACTTCTTTCCCATAAAAGTGAACTTTGTTCATATTGGGTAAAATTCATCAAACCCATTCATCAAATAATTCATATCTGAACAAAAGGATAAGCCCAAGATCTCATTGCCAGTAAAGTGGTTCCTTTGAACCTATTCTGTGAATAAAGTTACCCATGTGTAAGAGTTTAAAAAACAGGGTCCTTAATAGGAATTAGAAAAACGATTTTGTACTTGAAAATACATGGGGTTCATGTCTTGTCTTGTATATTGAGGAAGAGCCTGACCAGAGATGAAAAAATATCACTAAAACCTAATCACCTATGTGGTCTAACCTTGCAAGATGCTGAGTGCCCTCAATAAAATGCGAAATATTGAGTGCATTTCTGGATCAATACTGAGACCTCTCAGCACCTATTCCAATCATCATAGAGACTGGTATTAACTATAAAGGATCAGGCCTAGTGTATATATTAATAAAAATTGTTAAATGAAAATGTGCACATACAGATTTTAATTTGCATTAGGCAGCCTTTGATATAAATAGAAGTTATACATCAGAACAGTAATTATGCCTTAGTTTACCCAAAAATAAAAATACTGAAAGTCTCATATAATTATCACTATTTATATTTCGTGTTTACTTGTAGTTTTCCTGAACTGTGACAATGAAAAATTAAGCCAGTTTTCCTTTTGTTTATAGCCAACTTCACATTTACATTCTTAATAGAACAATATTTGACTTTCACATACTGCAGGGAAATATTTATGTCCCAAATACTTTTTCTTTGGTTTTTTTTCCAATTGTAGAAACCTATTTTTATTAGTCCCAGGGTTTTTACAAGATTATTTAACACGATATTGAAAATTTGCCCCAAATAGTAACTACAAATAACCTGTGATTACATATATATGCATAATGGTATTTATTTTTTTTTTTATTAGAAGGCAAATTTCCTATACAGGGATGTCTGTCCTTATATTGAGGCAATTCACATAGTATCATCCTTTTATATTGAATTTCTCATTCTCTTGCCTTCGCCTTTTAACTTTAACATTACTTGTTTTCCTTACTATGCATACTAGGAGAATGAATGGACCAAAAATCACAAAAATGCTTACCAGACAGCTATATAATCTCGTAGGACTACTTATGAACTTTCATGTGAAATCTAACTAAGATCTAAGTGCTTAGGAATGGTAATAGGGGTTCTGTTAGTTCTCCCTGGCCTAGATTTTGAGTTAAACATTTATCTCTTTTTCTCAACCCAAACAATAATACTGTTGATTCTCAGAACCTCTACTTGCCAGTTCTCCAGTTGGTTCCTGTGTTAAGAATCATCTTGAGAAGTGGGGATGTGAGGTGATAGGGGATAGTGGGATATGAGGAGGGACAGTGGCAGGAGGGACAGCAGTAAAAAGATCTCAACAGGACAACATGGTAGAAAGTGACTGCTTACTAGATCAGCAATTAACAGGTTTTAACCCAACATATTCACTATGACTTCCCCTCAAGGTGTTTGGTATGCAACAATAGTGTGGAAGCAAGGCTGTAACTCTCACAGGATGATGCTTTACTGCACATTACACTGATCTAACGCACAGTAAAGCATCAGTGACTACACATATGCGGGACTTATTGCACAGTAAATTAGGCTAATGCACCAGTTGCTAGTACCAACAAATATAGGTACTAGATTAATGTTGCATTAGCTACTGCACATGCTAACCAGGAGCAATTTGCTCTCATCAGCCTAGGCAGCAGGGGGCTACAGTGGGCAGGGGGAGCTGTCCACAGCTCTGGTGCAGAGCTTGGAATTGCAGCCCTGCTCAGTGGCACTGGCTTGAGGCAATGCCCCATGGCTGAATGGCAGCAGCATCCTGAGCTCTCCCCTCGCTTTGTCTGCTGAGGGGATGGCAGACCTCTCTGTCCCCAGTCCTGGCACTGATCAGCTCCTAGCTTCATGCCACAGCTGCAGACACCTCCCCTCCTGCCTCCTGTGGCCCCCTGCTGCCTAGGCTGACCACTAATCTATTACCTGTATTTGTTGGTACTATCAAATGGAGCATTAGCTTAATTTATTGCACAGTAAGTATCACACACGTAGATGCTGACACTTTACTGCACATTAAGCTAACCTAATGTGCAGTAAAGCATATTGTATAGACATATCCACTGAGCATTGAGCAAAACCATCCTGTCTTATCATACCTCCCATTCATACACTTTGCAATTCAATCTTCAAGCAATTCAAGTTTTTTTCCTTTATGACTTTTCTGGAAAGACCATTCCAAAACCTCATTCCTCTGATAGACTTCATCTTTTAATTTCAAATTAAATTCATCTGCAGCCAGTTTGCAGTCATTTGATTTTATGCTGGTGTTGTTTTACAGCCTAAAAGGTTCTTCTCCACAGGAGTGTTTAATCCACAGACCTGCACAGAAGGCAGTATGAAGACATACAGATCAAGAAAGGGTGCTGTCTCTGAAGCAATTTGTCTGATCCCCTTGGGTTAGTAGAGCAAAACCTTTACCTCCCACTAGTGTGGAACAGATTGCCTTCTCCATATGTGTCTGACTCATCCCATCAGTTAATCTCATTCCATTTCTGTGTCCTGGCCACAAAAGGAAGAAGTCTCTTTCTTTTCTTTTGCGCTGTAAGCAACATTTCTGCTTAAGAAATAAGGAAGGAATATCCTGCTTAACAGGAGCTGAATGATTACTTCTTTCTGATAATTTAGTATAGAATAAATATCCAAGGATATTATAGTTAATTATTTCTCATTATTGTGTTCAAATATTTGGTAATGAAAGGGTATCTACCTTCATTTAACACTTTATACCTTAACCACAACAACAGGAGATTATAACTTATCTAGTAACATGGGAATCTTGGAAGTCTTTACAAGGCCTGTATTTGGTCCCAATCACCAAAGTATCTGAGCACCTGTGAATCTTTCAAGTGCTTATTCTCACAAAACATCATGAGGTAGGGAAGTGCTACTATTCTTGTTTTACAGATGGAAAGCCAGTGTCTAGGTCCAGGGCAACCAAAATACGGTCCACCCACTCCCACGGTGGCAATGCGTGCTGTGCTCCCACCCTCACCTGTGGGATGGCCCTGACCCCAGCCCTGCAAATAGGGGAGTGGTGGCAGTAGACGGGTGGCGGACGGGTGGCAGTGGATGCGGGGGAGAGAGAGGGGAAGTGATGAGGGTGGCAGATGGGGGC